CTAGGAGATGAGAGATGTTGACTAAACTTATCGCGGTGATCATTTCATAACACGTGGAAGTCATTATGCTGTACACCTTAAACTCATACAGGGTTGCCTGTTCGCTGTATCTCAATAAAACTGAAAGAAAAACAATTTAAGGAGTCAAAGATGATGAAAAGAGGCGAGATCTGAGCAAGATCTTCACAACAGGGGCTACCCCAGCTGACAATAAGAAAATGGAGGGGTGTCCAGTATCACTAGTCAACAGAGAACGACAAATTAAGACCACGATGACCTATCCTAATACCACCACCAAGGGCTAAAATTAAAGACTTAACACTAGCAAGCACTGGCAAGGATGTGAAAGAACTAAAACGCTCGTTACTGGTGAGACCATAAGCCGAAACCACCATGTTGGTCAACTGCATGGCATCGCCCACCAAAGCTAAATACACGGGGAGCCTACAATCCAGTAATTCCACTCCCGAGGGCCTATGGCCAGCAAAAATGATGTACGTGACTACTCAGGGCAGGTTTCTCTTGATAGCCAGAACCTAGCAACAGCCCAAATGCCCATTCAAAGCAGAACACACAAGTTCTGGTATTTTCCTACCACAAACTACGGAGCAATGGAAAAGAATACACTGTCGCTACATGCCAAAACAGATAGATCTCATGGACGTGATGATGCGAAGGAAGCCACACGCAGAAGAGCGCATACTGTAGAATTCCAATTCGATGAAGCTTAAGAATTGGCAAAATTGGTCTAGGGTGATGGACACGGCGGGGGGGGGGGGGGTGAGGGATTTCTCCTGAGATGGCGGTGTAATTAGCCAGAAAGAGGCTCAGAAGAGCTAACAAGTGCTCAAGCAAAAATCTTAATCTTGATGGTAGCCAAATGTGTGTTTTCACATAAAAATACCATGAAGGCAAACACTTGAGATCTATCTGTGCACTTCGCGCGCTACCTCCACTGAACAAAAGTGGTCCCCCTTTGAGGCCACTTCAGAAAACTTACCCTGCAGATTTTTAAAAAGATTTTACTTGAAAGATTGAAATAACTGAAATTATTTATTTGTCCTTCCCCCACTCACTCCCACACTCTCTCCTGCTGTCTTCGCCCTCTAGAATAAGTAAATAAATCCTTAAAAAAAAAAAAAAAAAAAAGAAAAGAAATGAAGAAGATATAATAAGATTTCAGAATGGAGATTTAGTGGAGTGATTAAGAACACTGATTTCCGGAGTCTGAATTCAAATCCCAGTTCCAACACAGACTTTGTATAGTCGGGCAAAGTGCTTAATCTTGCAATGCCTCAGTTTCTCCATCTACAGACTGAGGGTAAGTGATAATAGTACTAGACCTCAAGAAGTAGCTAGAATGAGCAACTAAGTTAATGCACGTATAGACTGCAGGAGGATGTCTGGAACATAAGCAGTTAATGAAAATTAGTCAGGAGCATCGTATCACCAACGTGAGGTATCCCAAGATATACTGTTCCAAGGGCATCATCTCTGTCACAAGATACACAAGATACATCTCTGTCCTCATCTCGTGGACGGGGCGGGGGGGGGGGGGAAGCATAGTTTGAAAAAATGTTTGCAGCACGCAGCCTTCATGTAAAAATGGACCTAAACAGAGGACTTTATATTGTTTGAATAGACATGAAAATACCTTCTTCAACAGACAAGAAACATTAGTGGTAGGTTACCTACTCTGTACAGAATGACCTTGATGGGAAGGAAGCCTGGAGGCCAAGTTTTCACTACACGTTATTAATATGTAGAAATAACTGAAACGTTCGGGTGCCTGGTGGCTCAGTCAGTTAAGCGTCTCCCTTCGGCTCAGGTCGTGATCCTGGGGTCCCGGGATGGAGCCCCACGTCGGGCTCCCTGCCTCTCACAGCGGGGAGCCTGCTTCTCCCTCTCCCTCTGCCCCTGCCCCCTGCCCCTGTTCTCCCTTAAATAAATAGAAAAATCAATAAATGGATAAATAAAATCTTTTAAAAAAGAAATCATCAAAAGGTTTGATCCATGTGAATGCAGTACCTATTTAAGAATCATACATAAAAAATGTTGCTCTAGCGTCCGTGTTTAACTACAGCATAGATGAAGCTGAGGTTGGCTTTCGTTCAGCAGGTTTTATACGGACAAAATTTCAGAGCCACACTGGAGGGATGTAGAAACAAACGAGAGCTCTCCAGTTTGCCGTATTTCTGTGTGAACACAATAACAAAACAGAAGCAAGGTACAGAGGCCTTTTTTATCTTCACTACTGTCGCCAATTAAAGGATCAAGTACTACACACACGGCCTGACCCTACTCCTTATCTCCCTATGACTTTTTGTTCTGTCTCCTACCGACGCCAACTTCTAGGAATCTCCGTGCCGCAGTTCCTACTATTTCTGATTATGTATTTCAAACAAACCCGATTTCTGGTGTTTTTTTTTTTTTTTTTTTTTTTTTTTTTTTGTTGTTGTTGTTGTTTTGTTTTTTTCCCCTCTGGCTCCCCTTGTGACCCGGGATATGCCTAACTGGTGACAGCAGGACCTCTACTGAACCAAACTATGGTATCTATTCCGGAATTGCAAACAGATATAGTCTTTTGGTCTTGTTTTTTTAATACAGAAAACCTTTAAAACCCGATCAGGAAAAAGTTTTTTATCTGCCAAAATAGGAATTTAGACTGGCTACATAAAGCCACGTATTAAGACAGCTTTCAAGAAAAATAGGCTTTTATCTATTATTCCAAATGGTGTCAGGTAATGAAAAAAAGAGGATTTCCAATATTTAGAAGATAGCTTTTTATCTCAGACATAAGTTTATTCAAGAGTAGGTATAACTTCATTAGCTCTGCCTTCGTGTTTAACGAGCTACTCTAAAAATCCCAAGTACTAACTTTACTGTAATTTTTGTTAACAATTTCAGATATGTTTCACTTTGCTGCCTCTAGGTGGCACAGTTATATTTTAAAAGAGCAAAAGAAAAGCTATTCTTTGAAAATAGAAAGATATCTCAGTACCGTATTTTAGCTTTAAAGAATTGTGTATTACATTTTTTAAAAGATTAAAAGCATGAATGATAAAAAAGCTTATTCCTTCTAGAAAAGGATTATACCAATTTAAATAGTTTAGAAGAACAGCAAGGAAGTTCAAAACTAGACGCTTTTAACTAGTATTAAATAAAAATAAAAGTTTCACATGTGCAGTATCATGTCATTAACAAAGAGGCTTATAAAATGCCTTGTGTGTGTTTTGTTTCATTTATTTTGCCCAACTTTTTCTAGTTATTATATAAAGTTCATATAATGTTGTAGCTCTATTATTTCTCCTCCAGTACCCCCTAGTTTCAGGTTATTATCAAAACCTGAACGATAAAACACTTTTAAAGTGAAAGAAAATAGTTCAAAAGTGTTTTGTATTTTAATTAATGCCCCGTGCTTAAATGTGAACGGTTACTGCGAAATAATAAAATGTGAACTTAGAGAAACGAGACTCAGACTTACAGGTATCGCACTTCTTCTATTTGTGAGAAGCCTACACTGATCAACAGGAACTATACCCGAGAAAAGGATAAATGACTTAAACAAATATGCTGAGTCTGACTAGTGTAGACTCCACCCACTGTCAGCTGAGCTAAATAACCGAGGTATTAATGGAGGTCACTGAAGACAATCCTCATGCCCTGCTAAACAATATATAAACAATATATTTCCTCGTCTGCCTGTCTCACCAGATGCTGGGTAAGGCATGTACTTAGTTGAGGTGCGAAGAGAAACCCAAAAAAGGAGTCCAGGAAAGTCTATTCCACTTCAAGCTGCCTTCAAAATCATTTCTAGTGGTAAATGAGCTTTTTTTTTTTTTTTTTAATTTATTTAAGAGAGAGAACATGTGTGCTCGACCGAGCACAAGCAGGGGAGGGGAGGAGGAAGAGGGGGAAAGAGACTATCAAGTAGACTCCCTGCTAAGTGCAGAGGCAGAGGCAGGGCTTGATCCCAGGACCCTGAGATCATGACCTGAGCCAAAATCAGGAGTCAGACGCTTAACTGACTGAACCACCCAGGTGCCCTGCGCTTTTTTTTTTTTTTTTAAAGGAGAATTTACGAAAGCTAAGATATATCCTGTTTCAAGATTATTTAGTGCTTTGATAAAATACTGTCTAGATAACAGATTCAGAGCTGGAGGCAGGAACAGAAACATAAGCATCCTCGCTCCCACGCTAGCCTTGTGCCATTTCTCTAAAATGTCTTTCAGATTCCTAAGTAATTCCTTTCGCTGTTCTCCAAATTCATTGCCCACATACTCCATGTATAGACTGTAGCATAAAATATAAAGTATTATGGCTCATTTCACACTTACCAGCTTGGGACCCAGGTTCACTCAAGTAACTCATTAATAAAAGAACGGTTTCTGTATGTTCACACACACGTTTATGTACATCTACCTACACATTTTAGTTTCCCCAAGACTAAACAAATTGGCTACCAAAGACTAACAGGTATGAACAGTGGTGAATAACAGAAAATAACATTAGCTTGATTAGAGTTAAAGGCAGAAAGACATGACCCATGTCAATACTGTCATTTACTGTGACTAAATTGAACTTGCCACCACTACTCTAAATTCATGAGTCTAAAACTTAGGATGTAGCTGGCAAAGAAGGAAAATCTCTCACTGTGCACTGTGTATCTTTGGGCAAATGAGTCACTCATTCCTGACTAAGAGTTGGACGATATAAAACCCCAAATGTCTCCAAATTTTCAGAAGCTCAAAGTTTAGTTGAACTGATCCCCTTATAAGGGGACTGAAAATCCTTATAACCAAGTTCAATCCCACACATTGTACTTGGTAGTAACTTAAATTCCCTTTAAATTCAGAATTACACCAAATATCACCTCTTAAATAAAGGTAACAACTTATAATGAAAGTTCAAAAAAAAAATCTTCATTTGAGATTAACTAAATGCATAGGGGAAAAATTAAGAAATTTAGTGTTTATGTATGAAATTAACAAGTGCCGTACCATTAAAACTGCATAGTTACTAAGGGAATAGCACTGAATGGTAGTGATATTTTCATCCGAGTAAAGTATATTGCACCCATCTGACTTCCAGCCTCCTTGTCCGTTCAGCAGATCGAAATCCCACTGGGCAGCCACGGCATCTGCTCCGTGTGCGATTCGACGCAGTGTCACATTAACAGGGATGTGGTGGGTATCCACACTCATGCCATCTGGAGAAGACGGGAGATGGAAAGATTTCTGAAACAAACCTCAGAAACAATTAAATGCCGACTTATACACCAATGGGCACTCTGCAGTTATCTTTTTTTTTTTTTTTTTTTTACTAGGGACTCATTAAAAGGAGAAGGGACAAAAATAAGCACTTTTTGGTAAAGCATATCATAGAGTTCCACAGTCCGGTCACTACAGGAAGAACATATGCCACCGAACACACCTATTTTGGTGAGAATCACTGGGGTAACCACCGTACGCCGCTTTCCATCATCAGCCAAGTTTGTGGAATTCCCAGTGGCTGGGAAGAGTTTTCCGTTGCGGAATGCGATGAGTTGGAGCTTGTAGAGAGAGTCATCAGGTGATCTGACTTCCCTTTTTTGCTTTGACGAGAAAAGGGAGGGAGGAAGCTGAATAGAAGCCTCGACGATCGTATTCTGAGTACACATGAAAAACACAATCAAAGAAAGTTGGCACGTGAGCATGCAGAAACCAGAAAGGACAGCTCAGACGGCTACGAGCCGTCCCTGATTGTATGCTGCTGGCCAGGTTGCTGAACGTGATGTGCACGAAACTTAACAGTGAGCACGATTTATCAGTTAGATGAGATATCTGGACACCACACAGAAGCACAGAGGAAAAGCAGCAGAGACTACAGAGAAATGCAAACTGTATTTCCAAGAGTTAAAGCAGTAAACAAGGAATTTCTTCACACTCGAAAGTGAATTTTCCCATGGTAACACACCTACTGCTGAAGTCGATAGCATTAAACAGATCAGGGGTCTGGGCGATCACTCCATCAATTTTACAACAATCAATTATAGACAGAAGCACCAACGCGGCCTACCACAAATGTGAGTTTAATTAATTTGGACTTATGGAACTCTAAGGTGATTTATGATGGATTCAGACTGTCAACAAAAAGAAATTCAGACTTAACAGAAACAAAAAGAAATTCAGACTCCATACAAACAAAAGGAACACAGACTTAATAGAAACTTAGATTCAAGCAAACTCTGATCTCAGCCCAAGTACCCCTGAGACTAAGAAATACGTTAGAAATCAGGTTAGAAAAACATGGTAACAAACAGAACAGCTGGATTTGGGGCTGATCAAGGAGTGTTTTACATATTTTATCAGGGATTGTTAAATCATAAATTATTCAGCATTCAATAAAAAATAAATCTATGTACTCAGGAGGCAAATAATTAGCCATCTTAAAAAAAAAAAAATCTGTTTCAACAATTCATCCCAAAGTTTCTCTCTTGATGTCAATGTCTCTCCAATCCTATGTCCATGTTCCCAACAGAATTTCCTTCCAAGAAAGAAATTTGATCTTGTGGTTTTAAAGAACACTCCAGTTCTCCAATGTTTAGAGAACCCTGCCCCCCAAACCTAAGTACATCCTGTGATTTCGCTAAAATCTACGCCTCAAACTCCTCTTCGAACATTCCCTCTACCACCACCAGTAGTAGCCCGGCCACCCTGACTTGATCCGTCCTTGAGATTTCCTACGTTTCTGATGCCATTGTGGGTGCTGCTCCCACCAGGATCCCTCGCTGAAATGCTCTCCTATTCTTTTGTCTGGGAAACTCTTGAACTGGGCAGATCTGATTTCTAGCAAGAAAATTCTGCAGGCGGGGATCCCTGGGTGGCTCAGCAGTTTAGCGCCTGCCTTTGGCCCAGGGCTTGATCCTGGAGACCGAGGATTGAATCCCATGCCGGGGCTCCCTGCATGGAGCCTGCTTCTCCCTCTGCCTATGTCTGTGCCTCTCTCTCTCTCTCTATCTCTCATGAATAAATAAAATCAGGGAAGAAGGGGAGGGAAGGGAAGGGAAGGGATAAAGAAAGAAGAAAGAAAAATTCTGCAGGCAATGTCAAAGAGGGGTCAGAACAAGAGTGGTTGACAGCCAGGAGAAAGACATCCTTAAAATGGGGCGTCTTGGGATGACCGATTACAGGACTCCTCTGGGCGCTGCTTTCCCAGCAGGCGGCTCCCTCTTCCGGCCTCACGGGCACGCTGCACGCATCTCTATCACAACTAACATGTGCAACACCACAAGGTAACTCAACGTCTGCCTCTTTCACTAGAGGAGCAGGATTTTCTAATGCAGAGGATCTCACTTATTTTTCTGGACCCACTATGTTAATAATAGTTCCTGGCACTTGTATTCGATAAAAGTGACCCACTGTTTGTAAAACTAATGAAAGTCTGTGTGGCATGATGATATTTTTAAAAAGGTTCTATTTAAGCAAGTGATTAACTTTAAAATGAGTTTTTAACTGCTGTGCTTAGAACAATGCTGGAACACATTGGACACACACCAGTGTTCTGTTGAATAAAGTATTCCGAGAGTTTGAATACTGGAAGTCTGAATACTTCTTTTAAATTGAAGATGCTAAAAAGATATTTGGTAGAAATAGTCTGCCTAAGAAAAATGCACAAAAAGGCTTCTACTACTCTCACTTAAACATTTAATGACCTGAGGGCAACACAAAGTGGTTTTTTTTTATAAATCCATTTATTAATCTAATCAATTTCTGTTCTGTATGTAAATTTATCGTAAGTATATATAATGAGGTATGCAAAAAAGGAAAAAAAAATAAAAGATTGACTAAGTAACAGGTCAAAATCCCAATAAAGCACTACATACTGGACATTTATTAAAACCTAAGAACTATAAAATTCAATAAAATAACTTTACTGTGAACACAAAAATGACTCAAAAGCAATGTACAGCTGTCTAGGAAAACATTACTTACAGATTATCAAATTAATTTTAAAATTAATTTTAAAAAGACATACTGACATTTTCTAAAAGAGCTGAAAAAGGAAATGACATCTATAATTTTCAGAAGTCAGAAAATGTTTTCGACCGAAGTTTAAACTTGAAAAAACCATCCACACGACAACAAATTACAGACACTCAGAGGAGCACGAACAGATCAGAGAGAGAAGAAAGCTACATAGTTTGGCTTCTAAAATATCCTTTAAAGTCCAATATGGAATATTGCTCAATAATAATTACAAGGGCTCTGAGATGGACAGAGGGTGGCTGAAAGTGCTGGGAAAACTGTATCAGTAATGAATAATGTTTGGATTTTCATAGTAAGACTAAAATATTTGTATATTTCTTTAAAAGAAGTGATCATTCATTGCGGAAAAGTTGTAAATCTAATGAACGACATCACCGAGGAACACCCATTTGCTACATCTGTCACGATTTTACCTTTTGCCACCTGACCTAAAAGGCAAGGAACCCGTCTGTCATTTCATCTAACCATCGATTCATTTTTTTTCTCATCTCTTCATTTTAAAATGCAGGGATCACAGCAATGGAAACAGACATGGCAATTATAGCTAATAAATCAGAAAAAGCGTTCTTAAAACCCTTTGGGAAATAAGTGGGGGTAGTCTAATGTTAATTATGGCAGGTCACATGCCACCCCTGGGGAAAGGAACATAAGATCTGAAATAAGAAACCAGGATACGGGTCCCAGCCTTACCGCTCCGTGGCCCCTTAACACGGCACAATTGTGTTTACGCTCCCTGGGTCTCACCTGCCACAGGCAGCAAATGATCTTTCTAACAAATGGCTGTGAGGCCCCCATGGGATCATGACCATGACGAGCACGAGAGACTACGTAACTGCGGGTGGTATTTTTATTACTATCACTGCCTTGGTGTGGCAGGTGGTTATCTGGAGGCTGGGGACGCAGAAAATGCCTTAAACCAACAGACTTACCAACAATCATCTAGAACCTCAATGTACTTTGACTTACACAGTTCACTTTAAGTATTAATTTCAAGACTAAAACTTGACAAAGCATGAACACATGAATGTTATCAAAGAACACTTATTATTTTATTTGCAAGATTCATGAGTATTTCCCTACTTATAATGACATTAAGCCAGGAAGAAAATGCATTCCATAAGGGTTATTAATTCAAATACTTCCACTAGATTTTAATGCCTTTCCTAATGAAACAATCTGAACTTCTGTCATTGTGTAATTAATAAATTAAAATTTCCTGAAATCCAGGATGCCTAGACGGCTCAGTGGTTGAGCGTCTGTCTTCAGCTCAGGGCGTGAGCCCAGTGCCCCGGGATCGAGGCCCGCATTGGGATCCCTGCAGGGAGCCTGCTTCTCCCTCTGTCTGTGTCTCTCTTGAATAAATACATACAATCTTTAAAATAAATAAATTAATTAAAATAAAATAAAATTTCCTGAAATCCTAATTTTGTTCACTTCTATGAAATCCTAACACTAAAAGTGGAATGAGTCAAAAAGGCACCTGCCTTAAAACAATAAAATACTAAAATGATTTTTTTTAAATACTAATTTACTCATGTTGTCCTCACATTCTACACACTTGATATTAAACAGATGGATATGATATGTCCTCATTTTCCGATGTATAATTAGTTATTAGATGCATACCACTTTTTGGTTATCTCACTGCTAAAAGATGAACAGGGATTATGTTTGCCTTCAGAATCAAGTTTTTAACTAACTTTCCTTGCTAATTAAGCTTCGGCTGTTAAATTTTATCCAAGAGTATCTATTGGATGTGTCATTGCTCTGTGCTAGGCACTCTGGAGATACACAATGAGTAAGCCATGGTCCCTGCCTCGAATATTCATAATCTAATGAGGGAGAGCGAACAACAATAAAACAATAACAAGCACATTATTAAGTGCTTATTCTGTGCTGGGCCACTATTATATAAACGTCTACACATCTGCCTCCTTGAATGCTCCCAATAACCCTCTGAGGTAGGTACTATTTCATGCTTAGGTATCAAGTTAGGAACTGACATTCGGAGAGCTTGAGGAACTCGCCCAAGTTTGCACAGGAGTTAAGTGGAGGAGAAGAATGTGAATCCAGGCTGTCTGGCTGCAGAGACCACACTGTCACCATATCCCATGGCTTCTCTCTATAACTCAGCTTGCTATACTATCCGCTAATTATTCTGGAGAACGAACAAAGCACTATGGAACTAGCAGGCAGGGATGAATTCTCGGGAAAGAAGGAAGGTACTATTGAATGGAGTCTTAGAAACAGAGCAGCGAGGCTTTCCCCAGGCAGGGGTGCGGCTGAGGACAGGAGAAGGGGCAAAAGGGAGGGAGGGAGGGGGCATGAGGATCTACACGACAGGTCTGGAGAGGTAAAGCACTTCAGGTGGGCGAGAGCCCTCGGTATCCAGGACCAGGGAAATATGGGATGCATACAGAAAAACGGATTTCTAGTTTCCAATCAAGAAAACTTTAAAGAATTAGTTCTTTCAGGGCTATATTACAGCTGAATTTCAAGCTTTTAGCGATTTCTAAAAGCTCTTGGTCATTTATCAGAAGCAGCTACTGTTTGGTGATACTAACGTGACCTGTTATGGTACCGACGGGGGAGGGAAGCATTTGGTTAAGAAAACAGAACAGGGATCCCTGGGTGGCGCAGCAGTTTATCGCCTGCCTTTGGCCCAGGGCGCGATCCTGGAGACCCGGGATCGAATCCCACGTCGGGCTCCCGGTGCATGGAGCCTGCTTCTCCCTCTGCCTGTGTCTCTGCCTCTCTCTCTGTCTCTCTGTGACTATCGTAAATAAATAAAAAAAATAAAATAAAAAAATAAAAAATAAAAAACAACAACAACAACAAAAAAAGAAAACAGAACAGATTTGGTGCTGCAGGGTCAGATGACAGCTAATTCAATCCCCACCTGGCCGACAGGCACGGGAACTCACGCCGACTCCAACACCAGCTCGGCCTCCAGCAATCCTCAGGCTGATGTCGGAGCCACGAAACCCATTTGGCTCCCGTGTGTCACAGGCAATGACAAAGAGAGGGGCAGACAAAGTACGGAAGAGAAATAAAGAAGATGAGGGTAGGGGAGGACCGACAGGATGGTATTAGGTTAAGATTTCTTGAAGGTGGCATTTCTGCACGCAACCAAACTGTCGGAAAGGGGAAGAGGAGGAAAGCCAGGAATTCTAGAAGAAGAACTAGCATGAGACGGGGCCTAAGAACGGCCAGTGGCCGGAAGAGGAACCAAGAGAGGCTTGTTGCTACTGGACTGAAGAGAGAGGAGGTAGGAAGAGATGTGTGGCAGGAGGGGGGATAAATGCCAAAGGATGACACTACCGGATGGCCAGCCTCCAGAGAGACACAGGGTATTTTTCAGCGGATGTGCAAGGTCAATTTCCATGTGGGGCAGATCCAGGGATAATACTAACAATATTAACCACCCGGAATGACCTGCACAGGGACAACCTGCATAGCTTCAGCAAACAGGAGGGTTCCTGGAGGCCCTTCAGTTGCTAACAGGTGGACAGACTGGGTGATGCTCCCCCAAAGGGCCAGCAGGGCAGAGGAGGCACTCGGGGAACTGGCACGGTGGCTAATGAAATGCCGGGACACCCGCACCCCGATGTTTCTAGCAGCAATGTCCACAATAGCCAAACTGTGGAGGGAGCCTCGGTGTCCATCGAAAGATGATGGATAAAGAAGCTGTGGTCTGTGTATACAATGGAATATTCCTCAGCCATTAGAAACGACAAATACCCACCATTTGCTTCGATGTGGATGGACCTGGAGGGTATTATGCTGAGTGAAATAAGTCAATCGGAGAAGGACAAACATTACATGGTCTCATTCATTTGGGGAATATAAAAAATAGTGAAAAAGAACAAAGGGGAAAGGAGGAAAAATGAGTGGGAAATGTCAGAAAGGGAGACAGAACATGAGAGACTCCTAACTCTGGGAAACAAACAAGGGGTGGTGGAAAGGGAGGTGGGCAGGGGGTGGGGGCGACTGGCGATGGGCACTGAGGAGGGCACTTGATGGGATGAGCACGGAGTGTTATTCTATACATTGGCAAATTGAACACCAATAAAAAATAAATTTTACAAAAAGGGCAAGTTAAAAAAATTTGCTACAGGGTACGGAAGTATTTCATTATTTTACTGACTGTCATGATTGCACTGGTCAAACACCAGGCCTAGGTAGACCAAACTATATGAGAAGGATGGATTTTTTTGAAAGATTTTATTTATTTAACCATGAAAGAGACAGAGGCAGAGACACAGGCAGAGGGAGAAGCAGGCTCATTGTGGGGAGCCCGATGTGGGACTCGATCCTGGGACCCCAGGATCACAACCTGAGCCAATAGCAGACGCTTAACCACTGGGCCATGCAGGTGTCCTGAGAAGGATGAATTTTTAAGGATGAGTCTGGAGACCCAAAGACTAAACAGGAAGTCACAATGGTTTGGGTAACAGAGACCTCCAACCCAGGCGGTGATGGTAGCAAAGACAGAAGGACAGAGATCAAAGAAATATGTCGGCAGCAATTCAGGTAAGGCTCCTCTTGCTAACAGAGAATTGCCTTTTTATAGATTTAACTTCATATGTTAGCATATTCTCTCATTAGAGGGTAATATAATCATTTGGGAGGCGTTTGCGTTATCTAGTTAGTATATTCAAGGCATTAAAAAAAAAAAAAAAAGAAGACATGCAGAATGAGTGAAAAATTGCCCCTGCATAAAGTTAAAAATGTAAAGTAAGTTTTATATTAAAGTGCCAAAGCATTTTGCTCTGTTGATGTTATAATTTCTAACTAATTTTATGTCACGAAGAATATATTCCTTTTTCACTCGTTTAATCGTGTCCCTCAATGAAGCATGAATAATAGTGTAATGTGTCCTTGGTTTCTGGCCACAGATGATCTTATAAGGATAGAAGAGTATGAAATTGACAAATCTGAGTGTGTTCATTTAAAGCTTTCGACTCTGGCAGGTAGAAACTCTCCTCACCCAGAAGGGTGGCTTGTGAAATTGATGAAATGTAGGGTTTCATCATTTGTAATCCCTTTCTACCAACTATGATCATCTAAGATAGAAGGGTTCATCAATTTTAAGAGCTCCTCAAAGACACATGCCTTTCTCTCTTGGGCTCGTGTGCCATGCTGTTTCTCTGCCTTCTGTGGTATGTTTTTGCTGATGAACAACACAATAAGGAAAAAAGCAGGTCTGCAGTGGCACAGCTGGGTGCGCTAAGTACCCTCACAGAGCGAAGAGGAACAAATAAATCTCGCCAATTTTCCTCTGAGTATATTATATCAAGTAAATATAGTATCATTAGACATTCTGACCTAGCTGAGGCTGTCTTGGGCAGCGGGGGAAGGTGGACTACTTCTAAATTTGGCAAACCCGCTCTCCTTACGGAGGTCACTGATGGCAAGATACAACAAAATACGCTACTTTTCTTTTTTCTTCCTTTATTTTGTTCAATATTTACTGTGTGTTCTCATTCATTCATCCATTCACTCATTTATTCAATGTACTGAGTGCCCACAAAGTACCAGGACACCTAACACCTATTTGATCAATTACCACGCAGCCTTTAAAGTGACTGCAATACTGTTTGTGATATAATTCAGGGATAAGCCAGAAACAAAGAAAGTAACTGTGCAATTAAAATCTATAGAGAACACAGTTACACATGGCCACACAAAGCTAAATGAGAAAATGTGGTTCCATTAGGGTGTCGGCATTGTACCTCCACTACGGGCTTCTAGGTAGTTTAATGAAACACATCTACATCCCAAATTTTAAAACTCAATAAAAATGCTTTTCATTCTGCTGGGCTGCAATAAAACACACATTTTTGGAAGACAGATCATGTGTTTGTGCTTCTTGGCCAAAAATCTTGATCTACAGCTTGCCTGATGAAATGCCCAATCTCAAGGCTGGCTTTTCCACTAGGTCCACTGGGCACAGAGCCAAGGGCATGCAGTACTTGGGGGAGGTCTACGGAAATGTTTTCATGTCTTTAAAATCAGGAGCATAAAAATGAACTTTAAGGTCAAAGAAAATGTTCTAATATGTATTAATATATTCATCTTTTTACCACTTGTAGCCATAAAATACAATTTTGATATTTTTGTGTGGAGAATGGGGTGCAAAGGGCAAGAGGGTCTAGGTCCATGAAAATCATGACATGTCCCTTCCTGGTCTGAAGTTCTTTGAAAACAACAGCCAAAACAATACCAACACCCACCCCACCCCGTCGCACCCCATTCTAATAAGGTTATTTTGCAAAGCAAACCATTTTGAGTATTCTAATCTAATAGTACTAACAGGAAAGAGTCTTAAATGCTTACGGAATATAACATACCTTCAGAGCCAGACTTGAAAACGTATTTGAAACATTGCACTTAAAGCTCAACTGTTTATCCAGGTTTCCATCCGGATCCCGCCTCCCGTACTCGGAGAGGCCTGTGCGGTCCGAGGCCGCTACCTTCTGAAACACGGTACACGTCATCCCAGTGAAGCCCGCGGCCTTGATGACATAAGCTTCCAGAGCAATATTGGGTGAATACTTCAAAAGTCAAACAGGAGTTATGAAAGATTGACAGCATGAAGAGAAAAAGCACTTTGAAACAGTTTTCAAACACAAAACACTGTACGTAAGCTATAGGCAAAAGCTCAGGTTCTTACTTAACAAAGACGCTGGGCAGGTAACTGGCAGACAAAAAAAGGATGCTGGAAACAAAAGGGTACCCAAAACTAGAGAGATTCCAATTGAGGAAACAAGTCGTAAAGTACGGAGGATTAGAGATAGATGAGAAATCAATTAAAAAATCATTTAAAGAGCACTTTGTCAGAAACCATACGCTAAAGTGTCTTATATATATAAAAAAAATCAGCTAGAGAAATCAGTGGACTCTCTTAATGATAATATAAGAGGAGTGTGAGGGTTTTGGAAATACAGTTTTAACAGTCGCCTCATTCTGGGGCGCCTGGCTGGCTCTGTCGGCAGAGCACACGAATGCTGATCTTGGGGTCATGAGCTCGAGCCCCACGTGGAGTGTGGAGATTACTTAAAGAAAGATTTAAAAAGTAAAATTAATAAATAATAAAAAAATAAAAGTCTCCTCATTCCGACACTTCATGCCATATTCACTCTTTTCTATTACGGGGGCTCTTTGCGGGTAGACAGCATCTCCAGCCTGTCTTTAAGGATGATGAAGTGATGCCTACTGTATAGGCAAGCACCATTCTAAGTACCATATATGGACAACGTCCTCTTTTTCGATTTTTTTTTTAAGCATAAAACATCTGTGAGAGATGTGTGAAATCTATTAGGAAGATAAGATACAAATTAAAACAATATAAAATGCCAGGTAGATTCTGCCAAGCACCATACGCATGGTACAAAACATTGGTGGTTTCCCCAAATATCCAAGACTAACAAATCTTGGCGTCAGCTTTTGTCACACAGATGACACGCTGTGAAAAATCTTACTAAATTCAATTATATTTGTTAACCAGTGATATTCCATTCTTTTACTGATCAAAGATATGTATGATTACAACAAACATGTGAAACCTCATTTAAAAGAAAGAAAACTGCAGTTTTGAGGTGCCCTGGAAGCTGTTATCATATTATAAGTGGATGCATAATTTCCCGGAACCTTCTTTACACTTTGAAGTGGAGCGCAGATACCTCCAATGCACCTTTCATACGTATATCCTTGAGTTCTCTCAAGAACCAGTAAGGTGCAGAGAAAGGGAGAAGCTGAGCTGAGTAGTAAGGCTGAAGCATGGGATTTAAAATGGATCTAAATGACCAGGGAGGACCAAAGGTGGCCACCAAAATGGCAAGCTGGTTTCAAGTAAGGTCATGTATCTGAGAGAGAAATCAGGACAGCAGCCATGGGAGCCCTCCATTACGTTTATTATTCAAGGAGGTAATCCTTAATGTAATTGAGCAAAAGGCACCATAAAACACAGTATCATCAAAGAGATCCCATTGATCTTTGGAAAACCAGTAATCTTTAATTGTCTAAAATCATAGGAGGAAATGTAGAATGTTCTATGAACCCACTAAAATAATTAGGAAATGAGAACCATGGACCAGATCAGAGTGTAATAAGGGAATGACACATTATTTATCATATTTACCACATGTTTAGAAAAAGTCAGCAGTACAACAGCTCAATTTAGCACAAATAAAATTTAATACTATTTAACCAAGTGGTTATTAAATCTAAAAACTCCTCATGCCAAGAGCGAGACTGCCTAGAAATGCCAATCGTTCATAAGGGCTGGAGGGCCTCCCAGCAAGCAATCACTCTCTCCAAACATCCTTCAGCGCCCAGAGCACAGCATTAGCCGGGCTGGATGCTGGGTATGTGACAGTACAGCAAACCTACCAGGTGCTTATTTGGTTTTAGTTTAAGTGGTAATAACCATTCAATGGCAAATTAAGAAAGTATTTTCCAGTTACTCCAAAGACGGATCACTCAAAAACAAAATGAGCTCTCAAACTGTTAGACAACAGGAAATTCTGTAATAATCAGCAATAATGGAAAATACCCACCCTGTCATGTGGGAGGGGGGCTGGGGGGACGACTCTATCTTTCTTAAGTTCCAGTTGCTTCCAATAAACGTTTTTCTTAGAATTCTAGGACAATGTTTCACTTACTGTTGAATAAACATGAGCTCCATTTGCTAATCGGTATGTAGCGATGCGTTGTAGACACTGAACAATTCTACTGCAGGCCTTTTCTTCCCTCTGTGCCAGCCACAGGACACGCTCATCAGCCAACATGATGTTACTTGCAATGTCAACCATCACATCACCTAGCTAGCAAGTGTGCAAGAGAGTAAAGAAAAGACCTTTAAAACCAATACAGGATGTTTTATATAATAAAAATCACAATGAGACACCAAGATTGGCCCGCAGTCTACACTTTCACATGAAAACTCAATGGATCCTTTATTTTTTTTTTTTAATTGAAATGTTCTCGGATAGGAATAGCACACTCGGTTATGACCATTTGGTAGCATCTGGCTCAAAACACTATCCTTAAACCACCACCAACTCATTGGTGAAAGATGGCAGGTGGTACAAAAAGGCAATTAATCAAGGGCAATGGAAAGATAGCACATGATTCCCAGAATAAAGAGATCTCCACTCTTTAGTTGGGAAAACATTTATAAACACCTCTTTCTGTGTAAATGTTAACTTGGTATTATTATTAAGAAATAACAGGGCCACCTCTTTAGTATCTTGTCATGTCCAAAACCCTAAGTATGTCCAGCTACCAGGAGTCCTCCACATGTGCTGGGCCACTGGATGGGTCTTAGCCCGTGCGGTCTCCACTATCTAAATGAACGTCTTCCATTCCTCCCAGCTTGATGAATGCCTTAAGATCCAGTACCACAAATAAATGGATCCTATGAGGTGTTCACTTTTCCACCACTTGTTTTGTTTCATTACTGAATTCCATTTATTAAATCAGTTCCTCACCCACAGATATAAACATCTGTCAAGCAGTGCCAGCAAAGCGTCAATTAACTATCGTCGACGCTGACTTGTAAGTCCCATGTCAGAGAAATGCAATGAATAGTCCAGGCTAATGAGACACACCGGTGTCAAGGGGGTTTGGTATCAAGGAGAAATGTTCATGAGAGGGAGATCTATGGCAGAAAGAAAGGCAAGATCAGAGGATTTACAAGCTGGCTGGTCCTCGGATCAAGAAGCAAGTAGCAAAGGTGTTAAGCCCCGAGTGAGAAAGCTAAGGCCATTTTAGCAGATGTCTTTTGATCATCCCAGAAGATCCCAGATGAGTTTTTCAACCCTGTTCTGTATCCAGTACTCTTCCCAAGATGCATAGTTATGAGGCTGAGGTGGGCCTAGAAACTGTTCAGTCCATCCCACCCATGGTTCGCTTCACAAAGGAGACAAGCCTGTGGAAATGCACCAGACCACAATGCTGAAATGCAATGGGATGAGGCAACTAAATGAGTAAGGGGTAAAGAACAGGACTTCAAATCCGCCCGCGCTGGCTGAGCCGAACACTTAACTTCTTGTGCCTTCTGTTATTTGTAAAAGGGGGATACAAATGATCCTGTCTTTTCTGAATGTTGTGAAGATTAAGTTCCTATAATAAACAGTAGGTTACGGAAACCATGCCTGGCTGGCTTTCCTCATTATTTCATTGCTCCATTTTTCTCTTTTTGAAACATTTCAATCCGAGGATAGACCTTTCTTTGAAGATAGCTCTAGAAGTAGTGTTAAGATATTTATATCCAAAAATATGTAAGAACTCACAAATGTCAACAGCCCAAAAAAAAAAAAAAAAACCCAATCTGATTAAAGTCAGGTAGAGGATCTGAATAGACATTTTTCAACAGGAGATGTACAGATGACCAACAGGTGTGTGAAAAGCTGTCCAATATCGCTAGTCTTCAGGGAAATGCTAATCAAAACCACAGTGAGATGTCACCTCACACCTGTGAAAATGGCTATCAAGAAGGTAAGAGGTAACAAGAGCTCAGGAGGATGTACAGAGGGGAGCCCTGTGCACTGCTGGTAGGAATGCAATTTGGTGGAACCACTTACTTATGGAAAACAGTTTGGAGGTTTTTCAAAAGAATAAAAATAGAACTAACACAGGATCCAACAATTCGACTGCTGAGTATGTAGCCAAAGAAAATGAAAACACTAATTTGAAAAGAGATACGCACCTCATGTTCATACCAGCATTATTTATGATGGCCAAGATATGGAAACAACCTACGTGTCTATCAATAGACGAATGGATAAAGACATGATATGTGTGCACACATGCACCTGCACACACACGTGTGCCCACAGACCGGAATATTACATAGCCATAAAAAAGGACACCTTGCTATTTATGACAACATGGGTGGAACCTAACTGGAGGTATTATGCTAAGTGAAGTAAGTCAGAGGAACACAAATACCATAGGATCTCACTTACCTGTGGAATCTTGAAAAAAGCAACAAAAAACCACCAAGAGAACAGATGGGTGGTTCCCAGAGGTGGGGGTGAGGAGTGGGCCAATAGGTGAAGGGAATCCAAAGGTACAAACTTGCAGTTATAAGTAAGTCATGTGGACGTACTGTACAGCATGGTGACGTAGTTAATAATACTGTATTGCATATTTGAAAGTTGCTAAGAGAGTAGATCTGTCTCATGATGAGAAAAAAAAATTGTGACTGTACGGGGATGAATATTAACTAGACTTATTTTGGTGACCATTTCATAATACACACAGATACTGGATCATTATGTGGCACACCTAAAACTAATATACTGTTATATGTCAATTAAACCTCAATAAAAAATAAAAAAAAATAAATTAAATTTAAAATGAGGGGTGCCTTTTTAAATAGAGTCTATTCATATATAAATAGGACCGACACATCCAGCAAAATTGCCTTTTTCTACTCTCTGAGGTGCTGCTACCTCATTCAATTAAAAATAGCTTACTGACTTCTTAATGTCCCTAACATAGTATATCACAATTCTTTCCTTATTTTATTTCCAATGTAAATATCTCGAGGGCAGAGATGACACAATGTCTTACTTATATCTATACCCTTATTCATCAGTCAAACTCCTGGTATAGAAGCCAATAACTGCACAGTTCCATTTACTCACTGACCAAATATTTATTGAGGACCAAGGTGAGCCAGACACTGTCCGGAGCAATGGAGATACAGCAGTAAGAGAAATATACAAGATCTATTTGGGGGCTTACAATCTTTGAAGAAAATACAAAACAAGCAAGTACGCATATTTCTTATAAGTGACTGGATTGTGATAACTGCAGTGAAGAAATCTACCAGAGGGATGTATGATGAAGAGTAATGGGATTTAATCCAAACACCCTATTTTAATAGACTCAGACAGGCTCAAAGGGCATTTCCCCCAAACCCAAGACACTAACAAGATCAACTGAGAATTAGAAAGGCCGGTAATCAACCTCAATGCAATCCAGAGCCTATTGGCTTTATACAATTCATGGACTATTAGCATCTTAGCATATATATTCTACATATTCCTATTAACAAATAGGTATGAAGGTGAGTTGTATTCTAACAGAAGTCCTTTGGGGTGCCGGGTGGCTCAGTCAGTTAAGTACCTGCCTTCGGCTCGGGTCATGGTCCCAAGGTCCTGGGATGGGGCCCGGCATCAGGCTCCCTGCTCAGCGGGGAGTCTGCTTCTCCCTCTCCCTCTACACCTTCTCCCACGCTCATGCTCTATCTCAAATCAATGAATAAAAAAGGAAGAAGAAGAAAAGAAGAAGAAGAAAGAAGAAAGAGAAGAAAGAAGAAAGAAGAAAGAAGAATTAGAAGCAGCAGCAACAGCCGCTGCCGCCCTTATTTCTGGAGTTATAAAGGACAGTGAGTGACTCCCAATATGCCAATTGCCGAATATGTCAATCAGCCATTTATACAGCAATTGGAATAATACCTGCCAACTTGTAACAGGAATTCAGAGTAGCTGAAGAACTTGGCTAAGTGTCCACTATTCTTACCTATTGCTATTGCAAATGTTTACATAAAAATAAACAGGTTTAGAAGACATGCTGTGGTAAAATTTGCTCTACGGCTACCAAAGACACTCCCATCGGCTCCAAACACCCAAAAGACAATATATGGAAAAATCTGGACCCCAAGGTACTACAGAAATAAATAGATAAGGATTTACAAATTAGCACATTACAATGCCGCTTGTCTCATACTTTAAAGTTTTAAATGTATGGACTTTATCCACCATGAGACCCGACAGATGCATCATTTCTACTGAAAAACTGTAATTATTACATGAGCAAAGAGCTACTGCTATGACCCACTAGGTAATGCCAGTAATGGACTTTAACAATGGACTTTTACATTTTTTTAATAATTGTAAAGAAAAGTTATCTCTAAGAAGCTATATAGCTAGCAAGAGTGATTGCTTTAGCTGAGAACAAGCCATCTTTCTCATTAGTTCATTCCAAATGGCTAAGAACTTAGGAAAGGGATTTGTTGCCAAAATATTCCCTAGAGCAGGTAATCATAAAATGCTGTATATTTCTGCAGCTTGGTTACGGAAGCAGCTCTGAATCTGTCACAGTGGCAAAAAAGGACACAGAAAGGAGAACAGTGAATGAAAAATTACATTGGATTAAAGGAGTATTCCTAGAATTGGACACACAAAGATAGTTTGGCAACTGCAAGGAGCATTAGAAAGCATTGTATTTCTCCTTGACCTCATTTCCTGAAGGCCACTCCAGCCACAAAAGGGTCAGAAGGGATCATGCACCTGCTCTTCCACCTGTCACACTAAATGGTTGAGGCTCAAATAAAAACATGTGCGAATGCACTTTTACCAAAGATAAAAGGGTAAAGCAATGAAAATGCCACATGAATAACAAAGGAAGTATTAAATGTCATTTGTTGTAGGAATATTTCGTGTCCTCGATACATATGTTTGGAATCCTGATCAAAATGAGATCCATATCATCTGTAAATTTCATGAATTTCTGGTATGTTAGCATATGAAACACACAAGATAATACATAAACTAAACTTGGTATTTAATTTTAATGTAGTAGTAGAACCCTAAAGACAGAATATTCATGTGCCGGGACGCCTGGGCGGCTCAGTGGTTGAGTGCCTGCCTTCGGCCCAGGGCCTGACCCTGGAGACCCGGGATCAAGTTCCACGTCGGGCTCCCTGCATGGAGCCTGCTTCTCCCTCTGCCTGTGTCTCTGCCTCTCTCTCTCTCTCTCTCTCTCTCTCTGTCTCTCATGAATAAATAAATAAAATCTTAAAAAAAAAAAA